AATTCCACTATAAGTCAGGGCTTTATTGACCGGTTTCTCTTTTATTCCGCATCAGGGACCTAAGGTGCTAAAAAATGTCTTCAAACAGTGTATGTGTACTCACCTGATGACAAGCTGGGGTCCTCTGACCCACTTGTTTGGACATCGCATGTATGTGTGGCTGCAGGAAGGAAGAAAGGAGGTCAAGGGAGTCGAGTCCGAACCAGCTTCAGGCTTGGAAGGCTTTCTTCGTGATCTAAGTGGGCGCCCATGCAAGCAGCCCGAGTGTGTCATGGACCCATCGTGAGGTAAGTCTCACCTCACGACCTTAATTCCCTCTCACTAGTTGGTACCCTTCCCGCACAATACACGTGTATTCTGTAAGGACCAAGATTTCCAAGCCATGGAAACACATGTGACAGTAGGAGACGGATAGAGAGGAAGTATGCGTGACAGTAAGGGCAAGCTTACCACCGTGCGTGTCAGAGCGTAACGCCACGCATGAAAGTGAAGAGAGAGAAAGAGCAACGTCGCGTGCGGGTAGCACCGTGCATGAAAGTGAAGAGAGATAAAGAGCAGCGTCGCGTGGGGGAAACGCCGCTCATGAAAGAGGGAGAGGCAGCGCCGTGAGTGTAAGAAGAAATTTTAATGTGCGGCAATATGATGGAGCAAATGGACTACCTCAGTGCGTGCAGCACCGTGCGTGTCAAAGGGTACCACCATGCATGAATTAGACTGCCACTTGCCAGATGCATGATGCTACACACCCCACTTGTCCTTGTGCATATGTGGCGCTAGCCACTTGTCCACCTTAGGACTGCTGCACCAGCCAGTAGGGTACTTAAGCCCTCTCTCTCTCACGCCATTCATCTTCCCTCTCTCTCTCTCTGGAGCACACTAAGAGCCTTTTACCTTGAGCTCACTGTTACCCCACTATTAAAGGTTGGATAAGGGGACTGTAAGAAGGAGTTTTGTTGGAAGAAAGCCTTATTGAACCAGGTAAGTGGATCTAATCATCATTGCTTCCATAATTTTGTTGAACTATGAAACTAGAAAGGAATGATAAGAGTGAATTGGAAGGAGGAAGTGACAGTATGTACAATGTTTTCACAGTTTTAATGCCTCATTTCATGATGAACCTTAGGAAAAATGAATCTATTGCTCACAAAAATCTGTAGAAAAGTGTTTATATGTCTAAATCAAGATGGAATAGATTTTGTGACATTGTCCACTGTGAATTGAAAGGAATGAAGCATGTCATGTGCCACTGTGAAATTTTTTGAAACATTAATGTCTTATACCAAGCATTTGAATAGCCAAATGAGGTCCAAATGACCTCAAATTACTGCCATTAGAAAGATGCATGAGTCTACTACAATATTCATGTTCAAACTATGTTAAGATTCCTTATGAGTAAGAAGTTATGCCCTAATATGTGCTGACATGTCACTGTTAATAGACTGCACTGTGTTTCATCATCGTTACTACAATTACCATGGGTTTTTACTAACCAAATGAAGTCCAATTACCCTCAAACCACCATTTTAAAGATCTCTAAGTAAGCTTAAAGTTGCATGTTGAAAGTATTTCGAAATTCCTCCTAGATTGAAAGTTATGCATGAAATTGTGAGCATATGTTACCGTTGCCAGAGTTTTACCAAATTTCAGAACTATCACTTATGTTGTTACATACTTTTGAATAGCCAAATGGAGTCCAAATACTTTCAAATTACCTCTGTTAGGAAGATAAATGTTTTCTCTTGAACTTGGATTTTGAAAACATCCTGAAATGCCTTACAGATTAAAAGTTATAACATTTTGATGGAGGACATATCATTGTCTCAAACACAGCAGATTTCAGAGGCTATGCCTTTATTATTTTGAGATTTTGATTGGTCAAACGGGGTTCAAACTCTTTCAAACCACCCCCATTTGAAATATATGCGTGTCTATTGTAAAATTTGTTTTGGAACTATCTTCGAATTTTAATTTGATTGAAAGTTACATATCGATTTATGGCAGGACGTCACTTTCTAAAATTACAGGAAATGCGATACTGTGATAATGTGGTACTGTGATAATGTGATACTGTGATACTAATACCATGATATTGATACTGTGATACTGGAACTGTCATATCGTGACACTGATACTGATATTGTCATACTGTGACACTAAAACTGTGACACTGTTATATTGACCACTACTCAATGGGACATCCATTGGTGGTGGGTACTATTATACTGCTTTACACTGTGATATTGATACTGTAAGCCATACTGATACTGACCGCTACGTAATGGGTCATCCATTGGTAGTGGTACTATTATACTGTGATTGTGAAACTGATACTAATACTGACCACTACGCAATGGGACACCCATTAGTAGTGGGTACTATGATATTGCTTTATACTGTGATATACTGTGATACTGTCATGTTGGCAATTACTGATTGTGCCCCGACCCCAATGATAGGACTAGGGTAGGTGGTGAAAATGAACAACAGGGTGGGTCGCTCCCCTCAAATCTTTATTGGCACTCTTTATTGATACTATGCATTGCGTCACCCAATGGTAGTGTAACACCCTCTCGCTGAAAGGGCTTATGGGAGGGTCGTGTCTTGCAAGGCTTCTGCCTATCAAAACCCCAAAGCGCGCTGAGGATGTGTGTGTATGTGTGAGGGCACTACGAAGTGGGACACCCATTTGTCATTGTCTTCCATCCTGAACGTGAATAGAGGTTCCAAGCTACAAGATTAGCTTAGCCTGATCAATGGAACTTCTACTTCAGGAGTAGGTTCTTCTAGCTTCTATTGTGTGAAATTGTGAATTGTTGGCCTTACTGTCCTGCTAAGGATGAAATGATTGATGACTTAAGCACTGCATGTTTCTGATAATTGAACTGAATTTATTATTGTATGGTTAAAGTACTGAAGGGCATGAATAATGGAAATTTTTCGTCATACCTATGTGAATGGTGAACACTGTTACTTACTGTTATCGTTTATAGACTGGAATGCAATGGTGTAGATCTATTTACTGGGCTATTAGCTCGTTCTGCTCATTTTCATTCTTGTAGAGTGATAGTTATGGCCCAAGTGAGAGGGCAACTGTCCGAGTGTTGGGGCGCTCGAAGCTTAAAGTTTGAAGAAGGGATTTTTAGAAGCTTGCTATAGTAGGTGTTTGGTGGCTACGCCACTGTACTGTTTGGTTTTTGTTTACCTTGTACCTTGTAGGCCACTAGTGCCTTAAACTACTTGTAAAGGGAGTTTGGAGCATGATAGTTAATGAAAATGACTTTGCTTTTTGAATTAATATATGTTTGATGATGAATTTTAGTTTTATTTCGTGGTTTACTCTTTATTCCGCCTGTTTTATGCGCTGATCCACTCCCACCTGAGTGACGTTCGCGACTTCCAGTCGCGATCCCGCATTCAGTCACCCTCCAGTAAGGTACGGTAGGGGTCAGGGGTTGAGTCGTGACATATCCCCTACGCGCGTCGTGGTTTTTGAGAGAGCGATCTCAAGACCGGGGCCACTACGCGTCCAAATCTCAGCAGTCGGGGTCTTCACATCGAGACCTGAGGCGAGATCGAGGCACCCAACCAGTTGTATAACCTAGTGCACATCCACTATACCTTGAAATTGAGAGAGAGATAGATAAAGAAGACTCCACTGACTACATGCCCATCAACCTCGTTATATCTTCTAAAAGGACCCTACCGATAAGTTGGCATTGCAAAGGACCGTAGTATTAGACAAGGATTTCCTTAGAGTGTAATTGCCAATATAGATGATAATGGGGACATTGCAGCACCTAATGAATGAGACATGATAGAGGACATGGACACCAACTGTGAGGAGTACATTGAGGACGAAGATGAAGATCAAGATCATGAGGAGACATATGGGCAATGGAAAAGAATGGTAAGAGTCAGTCATGGAGGATTGTGAAGGGGCACAACATGATACAAAGCCCGATGTAGAGGTAGATGATGCACTGAGATTGGTTCGGGTGGAAATCCAGAAATCGAGGTGCAGCAGCTACTTGGCAAGGGAGAGATATAGTAGTAGTCAACACCATAAGCAGGTTATTAAGGGTGACAACAATATTGAAGCTGTTGAGGGCTATAAAATAGGCCAGCGTGAGGAGAATATGAAAAGTGGATGAGCGTATGAGACTTTGGCCAAGGGCGTACCATGAGAAATATTCTCGACTGGCGAGGGGGCACAACTGCCGCACTACAAACTCCACCAAGGCTTACTCAAAGTTTTGGCAAAGTGAACCCTATGAATCCAGATAGCAAGACACTAGAGTACCATGAGCTCCCTCGTCACTCTCATTACTATTTGCCAATGTTAAGTGCACTTTGTAACTCCCTCCATTGAATTAATGTATTTCAAAATATCTCCCTAATCTTCATATATTAATTTATATAAAAAATTGTTTTACTTTTATTTTTTAAAAAGTTAATATAATAAAATCTACATAAATCTACATTTTTTCCATACTTTTTGGGTTTTTTGACCCATTTTAAATAATATTTTTTTACTTGACCGTCTTGACTCGTTAATTAGCCCTGAGCCTTGTTCCAAGTTACTCGAAACTGTAACTCGAAACCAACCCAGGACCAGTTGATCAGCCCGGTTCGATCTTTTTGAGACTGGTTTACATCTTATGGGGCTGAAAATTTATTCGATCCAGATCCGAAACCACAATTTTGAATCTGAACATGGATCTAAAAATTGGATATGAAATTTGAATCCAGATCTGAATAAAATTTTGTATCAAATCTGGGTACATATGGATAATATTAATGAGGTGGGCTAATGAGGTGGGCTTGTGAGAATAAAAACCACAACGCCATGACTAGGTGTACCCTAACTTCTTTACCAAATCATATACAAACCTCACCGATCCTTTGATTAAGTTGCCCAATCTGCCAAGATGAATACGAGGACATTATTGAACGGAATTGAATGGAATATGAATAGGAGAACTAGCAGGCCGTACAAAGATTGTGAACGCACAGTGACAGTGGATACCTTTGTCATTTCATTGAAATCCTGTGAACTGATGTGGACAGGGGCGACAAAAGTAAACGTACCAGAGCGTAGATCAAGGGATGAAATTCAGAGGGACGGAGGGAAGAAGAGGGAGAGGATTTTTAACGGCGGACACAAATTTAATACAGGGAGAGAGAAGTTTTAATTGGAACAGAGGAGAGAGAAACTGTGGGTTTATGCCTTTGTGAGGTTTTAGAGAGAGAGAACAGGGGGTTGGGAGGGTTTAGAGAGAGACGAGAGGGGATTGGACAATTGTACGAGGATGCAGGCATAAAGCTTGACACCTAGAAAGGGCGAGGAGGTGAACTCAGATTACATGGAGAGGATAGAGAAGAGAGAGGTTTGATGAAAGAGAGAAGGGCCGCTTCTGTATCTGTGAGAGTGAGAGAGAGGGAGAAGCAGGGAAGACTGTAATCGTGACTTTTAGATAGATAAGACTGATTTTTAGAGAGAGAAAGGAAGCAGCTCTGGTTCTACGCAACTTTTGATGCAGTAGTGGTTCAATCTCAAATCTCTTTGAGAGGGAAAGCGGTGAAATACAGGTACTGCTGTCAATCCAAGTTCGTCAATTACTTTTCTTCTCTAAAACAACAGCAATCGCCTTAAAGCCATTAATCATTTTAACTTTACTGATCTTTGAGGTTTAATCTCATGTTTTTTACTGGAAAATTTATTTTCTGGGATTAATTTTTTCCATTTACCAGTCATGACGATGATGATTTAGAGATCTCTCGATGAAAGGAAAAAATTCCAGAAAAATAGCGGATAGAGTATAGAGAAGTTCTTTTTCAGACAACTGAAACAGAAAACAAATCGCAGAAAAAATAAAAAAATGTTCACAAGAGCCGGGACGAGCTAGCTTGGCGAAAAACAAAGGAATTTACAAGTCTTTCTAGCCTGAAATTTTAATTTATTATGAGAAAATAGCGTGATATAGCCAGAACTGGAAATTGATTTGCGGAAAAATTTGTAGAAATTATGCAAAAATTATTTTTTTAATGGATATTTGCTATGATTTATGAGAGATTTCGAAGAAAAAGGGAAATCAAAGCTTGTTGCTTTTGGTGTGATTAATGAGAGCTTGTGCTAGTGCTTTTATAATCTATATAGTTCTTTTCTTAATTCATGGGAAAAATCCAATGGATTTAATGATTTAAATATAGCAGCGGATGAATCGAGGACGGGCTTTTTCGGAAGGGCAAAATGAATAACACTGATCAAATGAATTGCAGGAGATAAGTTCAAAGTTGTCACGGAATTCTAGCTCTCCTTTCTCTCTCTAACTCTCAAATTCTTGCTGTCCTTTCTCTCTCTAACTCTCAATTCTTGATGTACTCTCTCTCTCTAACTCTCCTTCGTAAGTTAGGGTGCGATCAGGTTTGCTACTCTGTATTCCAAGTTCTACTTAGCTACTTTCTCTCTCATCTATCGATTATTTATCTCCAAAATCTTATATGATTTTCTCTCTCTTATTCCCTAGTTTTGTCCTTAGCTTCTCTCTTTCTTCAAGATCTGCTAGCTTATTTTCCTTTTCATTTCTCTGTACATTTTTCTCTCTTTGAATCTCTTCTTTAGAACGACTCATCTCTAAGAAGTTCAGATATCTCCAAACCCTAATTACATTAGATCCCAATGACTGAACGGAAACTGTGTTCCTATTATCACCAATTTCCAGCTGAAATTCGCTCCGAAATGTAGTGATATTGCAAAGTCTGGAGTTTCAGTGACTGGATTATCGCTGAGTTCCAGCTGGCTAAAAGTCGCCGGAAAAATAAGCACAAGAAGCACAGAAGAGATTGGTCCGGGGATCGCCATTCGTGAAAGACTGGATGGAAGTTAAGTCTTCTTTGTGCAGGTAAAATCTAAAAAATGCTGGTTTTTATTTTATTTTATTTTATGTGAGCATATTTTTCCATACCGATTTGACGTGATTAGGTAGGTGGAAGTTTTTTCACTCCATTGGTCTTGGTACATATTTTCACTCCAATTCGTCCAGCACATTTTTTTATCACACCTATTTTAAAATTTTTAAGGGAAAAGTTTATATAGAGCCAAGGCTCTAAATAATCAAATTAGAGCATACATAAAGAATTTTACTAGAAGAGGTTGTTTTGATGCTTAATATTCTCAAATTGATCGTCTCGATGTCAAGATGCATGGACATCAAGATGCATGGACATGAGAAAAAATAGATTTCAAGTTTTGAAAATAGTGTATTTTGTAGCATTTTTTAGCCATCAAATTTAAAGATTTTCAAATTTTCTATATATCTATCAATCTTTTGCATTATTTTTTAAGTTTTAAACTTTATTAATAAAGATAAAAATATATTTTAATTATATCACAAAGATTCCAATATTAAAACCACATTTCTCGATACTGTTTGAAAGTAGGCTCTAATACTGTTGGAAAGTAGGCTCTAATTTGATTCTTTAGAGCCTAAGCTCTACACAAAGGGCACCTAATTTATAAATAGAGAAACTATATTGAAATTTTTAGAAAGAGGAACTCCTCTTTCTTAAGGCTCTTCATTCTGAATTCTCTTTTCACTTTTAAGTCTCTCTCTAAAAGGCATTTCATTATATTGGGTAGGAACTCTTTCTCTCTCTTGAATGTAAGAAACTGATTGGGAAGTCTCTCTGTAATGTAAGGATTTAAGTAGGCAGGATCTGTTTCTCTCTCAAAAGTCGAAGTGTGATGGCAGGAGAGTTGCAGGGAAGATGGCGCGGGCATTGAATGGCACCGCAAGCAGGACCTCGCTCCTCTTCCTACTCGCGTTATTTATTGGGGCCATCATCTCCGCTCGCTGGATCGATGTTGTAAGTTCCCCAACTCATATCCACCATCCGTTGTTGCGTATGAGTAGTGCAGATGGTGTATCATGGCTGTTTGTGTAATACACGTCGCATAGTTCAGCATTCTTTTTGGAAAGCAGTTTGAGGAAAGCCTCATGTCAAATTGTAAATTGCAATTTAAGCGTCGAAAAACCTTTACATCGATCATCTCGACGTAAACATTATGGCTGTAAAAAATTTAGAATTTCAAGTTGTAAAAGTAGTGTATATTATAACAAAGAGTATAGACCATCTACCTTGCCCTAAAAATAAGCATTCATATAATCTGTGTCATTTTTTTGAGTTTTCAAATTTTTTTTTGTCAGTGTTGAAAATTGATTTAGAACTATCATGAAGATTTCTATGCCAAAAGTGCTTTACAAATGAGAATTTGAGGTGAGCTTATTTTGTTTCCATAAAAACCTAGGCCTTGTAGCAACCTTATCCTTTATTTTCTTTATTTTTCTTCTTAGGGTTTGATGTTAGAACTTGAATACAACTCCGTAAAAGACGCCGCATGTTTGCTCCGATGGGAATTTATGAATCTGTACGGGTTTTGGAAGAAGAGCCTAAAATTTCTTTGCTAGGGCAACCATAAAAAATATGTAATAAGCAAAGGAGGAAGAGAGAGACGGGGAGAGGAAGGATCGCGACTCGTGTATAAACAGAATCGAGCGGTTTTGGGCTCCAGGCCACTTACTTTTTTTGAAAAGACAAAAGCAATAAAGAGCATGTATACACTATGTTCTTTGTGCCTTGGGAGCATAGTTTATCTCTACAAGGTTAGATGACACAATTAGGAGGATTTTTTGAGTCCGAAATTTTAGGAGTTACCTAAGAATCACCGGTTGATTATTCTCGAAAGAAAAAAAAAAAAGAATTTAAGTTTTTGAATACTTAAATCTTATTTTCTAAATCTCATCTTCGACATTATTTTTTTTCAAGTGTTTAGAGGGTGCAATTAAATTTTTTTTATTGAAGTTAATTTGTGCATTAAAAAGGTTATATCCCCAAAAAATTGGGGTCCTAAAATTAATCCTAGGTGGGGTTTTATCGAGGGAGTAATGGACAATATACTCTTGAAGGAGTAGAATATCTTTAAACTAAAAAGGGAGGGGCTAATTTTTCCTTCTTCCATCATAAAGTTATCCATCAGTTTTCATCTTACCTTCTATAGGATTAGAAGCTAAATGGATTGCCCACCCTAGAAATCGGGCTTGGGTTCGAGTGGTTCGCAGCTGAAACTTAGTTGTGCTATTTCTCAAGTTTGATTCCTAATACTGAACTACAAAAAAAAAAAAAATGTAATGTTTAATTTTTTGGTCATCACACTTATATATTTAACTCTTTTAAGAAAAGCATTTAGTATTTTAGTTTGATTTATTAAACTAAAGTTCACCAAATGGAAAATGTCGCATAAAAGAACAACAATTACTAATTTTCCTCTTTCTGTTGGGTTATCTTTTATTATTATTTTTTTTGAGCAATTCAGTGAGGAAGACAGGCCTTACTCATTTTTTTGAAATTTATTTTTTGAAAGTATTAGTGGGGTAGTATTAGTAGTGAGAAAAAAAACTACATGATGACTAGAGTGTCGGGTGCTACCACCACGACCCAAGTACTTCATTCTATAAAGAGAAAGGTTATGTAGTCATTCGACTATTGGCTTTTTTGACGAAGTTTTTTGTATGGCCTAACCTAAACCAAACATTGCTCCTTGTTACATGGAAAGAAGAATATATCCCAAATGACTTTTCTTATTACTTTATTAGGCAATGCACTGCCTTTCTTTATACGACCCGGGATAGAGATGGGAAAATGGTGTTTCAAATATAATGACAGCCAAAGGTGATCTTGGCCTTTGACGGAGAGACACTAGTGATTCATATGACAGCCTGCAAATAGCATGTTTTGATTTACTCATTATAGCTTATTATTATTTGTTTTTGTTTTTTATTTTATTTTATTTTTTTTCCTATCATTATAAAGTTATCTTTTAATAAATTTTTAGACAATTTTATTTATAAATAACTACAAATTGTTAAAAAAAGTTATATAATTAAATGATATTATTCCAAATGCATTAAATTCGGATAAGATGGCCTATGAATTAAATGAAAAATAATTTTCAATTTCTAATCTTTTGGTTTCTATATTAAAATCTCCCTGAAAGGTCAAAAATGAGTTCTAAACTCTACAAGAGATTGTCCTACTAATATATGAGAGATGTAGAGCTTTTTATGTTTTGAGTAATATAGATTAGGCGGTTTTCACTCTTACAAATTTTTTGAAGTCTCGTGTGCTAATCGGCAATTAACTTCCAAATTCCTATTAAAGAATGAAAAAAAAGTGAAAATCGTCCAAAACTCTTTTGATTTATTTATTGATCATATGTTTGTACAACTTAGAGGTCTATATTTAATTTTTTGATTCATTTTATTTAGGAAAATGCTTGTTTAAGGTCTCAACCTTATGTAGGGATAAGGTGCACTTGACTTCGAGATCCATAGGCATGAAAAAACAAGGGATTTTTAGTGCTATAAATAGTTTATCTTCTAACACATTATCTCGACCGTCCATTTTTTAAGATTTTTAAGTGTTTATAGATCTACTTGATCATCATTGAAACTTTAAATTTATAATTGCCATAACATTAAATTTTCATATCATTCCAACGCCTTGACACCAAATCTGCATTTTCAACATAGTTTTGATGTGCGACTTACATCAATGGTAAAAGGGTGGCACCTTATACAAACCTCACCCTTATTTATGGTTTTGCAGTCTACTTTAAGCGCAAAGGGCGCCAAAGAACTAGCAGCAAGATCCAAACCATCGGTATACAAATCCCCCCAAAAACCCAGACCTCCTCTTCCTGAAAGACCCCTAAACTGCACGCCCATCAACACAAACTGTTCATCTCTCCCATGGCCTCCGTTTCCTTCCATTCAAAACCTGGACCCACCAACCTCCACTTGTCCGGACTATTTTCGATGGATCCACGAAGACCTCAAGCCATGGAAAGGCACAGGCATCACACAAGAGATGGTAGAAAGAGCAAGGAGAACGGCAACTTTTAGGCTTCTCGTTATTGATGGGAAAGTTTATGTGGAGAGATATGCCAAGGCATATCAATGTAGAGATGATTTTACTATATGGGGTATGCTTCAGCTATTTAGGAGATATTCAGGGAGGGTGCCTGATTTAGATTTGATGTTTGACTGTGTGGATTGGCCCGTGGTGAAGAGGTGGGATTACAGGGGCCGTGTAGTGCCACCACCCTTGTTCCGCTATTGCGGGGATAAGGACTCACTGGATATCGTCTTCCCCGACTGGTCATTTTGGGGCTGGTATCTGTCTTGCTCTCTTTATCTTGGCATTCTCACTTCTTATGAATGCTCTCAATCGAAAAGACAAGTACCCATATTGAGATGCAGACTCTTTTGTTCCTCAGATTTTTATTCTTGGTGTTTATTTTCTTCTAATATTCCAATAGGCTGTGAAATTTAATGGTAGTGTCAATTTTCAGGCCTGAGATAAACATTGAGCCATGGGAGGCCTTATTGAAGGACTTGGATGATGGCAACAAAAAGATCAAATGGATGAACAGGGATCCAACTGCTTACTGGAAAGGGAACCCATATGTAGCTGATACCAGGAAGGACCTTCTCAAATGCAATGTTACAGAGACTCAAGATTGGAATGCTCGTGTCTATGTGCAGGTATCCACGAGCTACAATAATATCGTTTCCTTTTACAAATCACATCCTACTTGAATTTTTCTTTGACCTTGTTGGGGAATTCTAAGACTTGGGTTTTTCTTTTTTTTCCCAATTGACTTTTGAATTCTGTCATCTCAGTTAGAATTGTGACATGAGCATTCTCATTAAGTCAATAGATGGCACAAGTACAGAGAGACAGAAGTGATGACAAAACGACTGAGACTAGGGGTCACCTTCTTTTACAAACCAAATGAACATTCCATTATGGTGTACATGTGCTGGTCACTGTTCACAACACCTTCTATTATTCCTGTACGACCACATGGCCAAAGACAGGGATCAAGCAAACTATATATTATATATACCAAATAAATTGTTCCTAAAAATAAATGGAGCCCAATCCAAACTAGCCTTAACTGTTTCAAGAGCCCAACAGCCTCATTGATTTGGCATCATGTCCGGTTCTACAAGTATTGGACTAGTGGTTCATTAAAGTGGCTTTGATGATCTGCTAAACCAAACATCCACTTTTCTTATGGCAATCCTTGAATAATACCTACCTATGAAAAGAAAATGACTATAAGTGTCTCCAGCCTTTAATGCCGGAATAGCCTTCTCATTGGCAAATGACTATGGAAACTGTGTCGTTTCCATGAATTCTAGAGTAGCTACTATTATCAGATTCAACAACTATTACCCCTTCAACATCGTTCCTTTGTTTGGAAAGGTAACAATTACTCTCTGGACCTATCCTTTTATCATTTAATGCCTATGAAATGTTCTGTATGGTTTTATAACTAGTCCCTGTTCACCAATATTAAGGTTTCTCTTATTGACAATATTCTACTTTGTGTTGATGTTTTTCCTGAAATATCTGTATCAACTTTGTTAATGGCTTATAGGACTGGATAAAAGAGTCCCAGCAGGGATACAAGGAGTCCAACTTAGCAAACCAGTGCACTCACAGGTGGATAATAATTTTTGTAGCTTGATTTGTTCTCTTGTTCTTTATGCATTATTTTATCAATAAATGGAGTGTATTTCTAATTGTAATTGCTTTGTTCTCTTGTTCTTTATGCATTATTCTATCAATAAATGGAGTGTATTTCTAACTATAATTGCAAGTTTTTTCAGATATAAAATATACATCGAAGGGTCAGCGTGGTCTGTTAGTGAGAAATATATTCTGGCTTGTGATTCTCCAACTCTTTTGGTGACACCTCACTACTATGACTTCGTCACCAGGGCTCTCATGCCCACACATCATTATTGGCCAATTAAAGGAGATGATAAATGCAGATCCATTAAGTATGCTGTGGACTGGGGCAACTCCCACAAGCAAAAGGTTGGAACTCTCTCTCTCTCTCTCTATGTATATATCCCCATATCTAAAACTCTTTTCCCCCTTGGTTTGTTACTTTTCTTATATTTTCAAGTATGATTTGAAGTGTATTTAAGTTGTTTATGAGATTTGGTTCTGTTATGTTTGATGAATGTCTCCTTGTCTGTTCCCCATCGTAGGCGCTTCAGATTGGTTGACTCAAATTACTGCTGTTACCTGGCTTCAAAACATTTAAGATCCTTGAGCTTGTTTTGGATTTTTCCATGTAGAAAAATTAGAAATGTTGTTTACCGTTTGCCAAAAAAGAAATATGATTAAAGTGATCATTGATATATGCGAAAAGTTTATATAGAGCCGAGGCTCTAAACAATCAAATTAGAGCCTACCTCAAAAATTTATCTCGACATCAAGATGCATGGACATGAGAAAAAAATGGATTTCAAGTTTTGAGAAAATAGTGTATTTTGTAATGCATTTTTGGAACGTCAAGTTTCAAGATTTTCTAGTTTTCATAGATCTATAGATCTACGCTATTTTTGAAGCTTTTAAACTTTATAAATAAAGATGAAAATATATTTTAAGGCTATCACAAAGCTTTCTAGTGTTGAAACAACATTTCTTGATACTATTTGAAGGTAGGCTCTAATTTGATTGTTTAGAGCAGGGTTTGAAAACTTGACGAGTCGAACCGGACCTAGTTCGACTCGAGAATCGGCAGACCCCGTACCGGTTCCACTACAATATCAGAAATCGTCCGGTTCTAGAGAAGAACCGGTGATTCCATACCGTAAATCGTCATGTGACGTCATGATTCTCCCTATTCTTCGATTCATGACGTCATGGCGCGCCGATTCGTCAATGGGCATTTTTGTAAATTTTAAAAAGTATATTAACTTTTAGGTCCGCACACCTCATCATGTGACTCTCCTCACTTCGCACGCGTTATCCTTGTTAACTGCAAAGAGATATTTATCCATTACAACGTCCTTTTACCTCTTCGATGTGGGATAATGTGAAGGTATTAACTTGAAACATTAATATATTATATATTTTGTTTGCCTTTCTAATACTATTAAGTAACATGTAGCTTACTGGTTATAACTTTCTTTCTACATGTAGGGGCAAATTTTTTTCTTATAAATATTTTTTTTGTCAATTTTTTTTTTTTGAGGTCAAATTTATTTCTTATAAAAAAAACGAAAGGTTTTTTTATCAATTTCACTTTTTGTCAAATTTTTTTATTATAAAAAAAATGAAAGTTTTTTTTATCAATTTCGCATTTTGTCAAATTTTTTTCTTATCAATAAAAAAAAAAATTTCTTATAAAAAAAAAATGAAAGGTTCTTTCTTGTTTTATCAAATTTCTTTTTTTATTGGATTATTAAAAAACAATATTTATAATAAATTTGAATGATTTTTTTATATTTTTTTTATAGCTTAATCCGACCGATTCGGCCGATTCCCGATCCAGATCGCCGATCCCCCGATCTGGATGGGTTTTTGGGGTGCTCAATGCGGGCCACCGATCTGTTTTTTAAACCATTGGTTTAGAGCCTAGGCTCTATACAAACCGTACTTTTCATAT